GCCCCAAATGCATACATATAAATAATACTATACAGATCAAGCAGGTTATATTTAGGAATATATGTATATATAATATGTATATATTTATGCATATAAGAACAATTAATGGAACAAGAGGCCATGGATTTGAGAGAGAGAATGGAGGGTTATATAGGAGGACTGGTAGGGAGGAAAGGGAGGTAGAAAATGTAATTATAAATTCGAAAATAAAGCTGGGCATCGGTGGTGCACACCTTTAGTCCCAGCACTTGGGAGGCAGAGGCAGGAGAATCTCTGTGAGTTTGAGGCCAGGTTGGTCTACAGAGTGAGTTCCAAGACAGCCAGGGATGTCTTGGAGCATCCCTGTCTTGAAAGAGAGACCTTGTCTTGAAAAACAGAACAAAACAAAAAGTTCAAAATTAAAATAATTTTTAAAAAGTACCATTGTTCTGACATCTACTATAATAAATTAAATATTAAAAAAAAACCCTTGCATATGGTGATGGGCTGCAAGATGAGGGTCTCTCTTTTGGATGAATTCTTATTGGGTGAGCCACTTTGCATGGAATTTCCATTAAATACAGGCATCTCTGTAGTAATGGGTAAGTCACTATACCACTCACTGGTTCACGGTTTCACTGCCACTTGAGTAGAATGCTGCTTGGGTTTTCCTGTTTTACGGAACACTTTCTGTACTAGGCTTGCACTGGAAACCAACTCCTTTATGGTTACTCAATCAATGACCTTCCCTCCATACTAATTGCACAGGATGCTGAAAAGATGTTTGGCAGACATGGTGCTGATTACACTTGTAGGAGTCAGAGGAACAGATCAACAAGTAGGCATGGGCAGTGAGCACTCCTGGCCACATTTTTATGCCAGAAATCACAAGTGGAAACATCCTTTGATGGAAGATTTGTCCATAATATTCCATTTCCTAGGAAAAATTTTTTGCCAGCTCTACCATGCTCTGTACTTCCTCCACTCCCTGACCACACTTGGCTCAGCTACAAGCTGATCTCTGCTTTCTGGCTTCCCTTCTGCTCTTCCTCCACCTCATTCTTCTCTACATCATTTTGAAGATTGAACCAAGGATCACATGCATAGTAGGCTACTCTACCATCCAGGGTATACCCATTTTTTTTAAATTGTTTTTTTTTGAGATAGAGTTTCTCTGTACATAGCTTGGCTGCTGTGAAACTCACTA